ATTCCTGCTTCAAATGAAACATCTTGTGTTTGGAGAGTGAGATGGTAGCAATGAGCTCATGGTTTGCAGCCCAGATCTTTCTGCCTCTCCTCCCCCTGCCTTTGCATGTGCCATGCTGATCAGTCAAGCTCAGGAGATTACAAGAAGCCTTGGGAGCAAACAAGCAGCCAAGGTGTCTCAATGATCTGCTTTTTCTGTCCAGTTTTGGCTGTACTACAAATATCCAAAATTGTCAAGAGAGAAGATCTGGCAGAACAAAGGAAAATAAAACAAACAGGGAGATGCCAGGTTTCCAGCAAAGAGCCAGGAATCTTTTTTTCATTTCAGCAAAGGCACTGAAACATCCACTGAAGTGCAGACTTAAAAAATAGGATAAGTTTTACAAAGTACAGGAGAGAAATAAATAAAAATAAATAAATTGGTACAAGTTTTAGGGACTCCAACAGCAAATGCAATACTTTTATTTTTGAACTTTTGTTTCAAGGCCAGCGTAGTCATGTCCAAACTGGTTAGAGACTGAATTCATCTCTTTAAACTACAAGGCAGGACCCTAGGTTGGATTTGAAAGGTTTGGGAGATGTTTAAACTGCCTTTGATTCATTCTGCATTACCAGACCTGGAAGACAGCACTCGTTTCACCTTATTTTAGGTGTCTACAGTGTCACCCTAGGCTCCCTCTCTAGTCAAGGGGTGAAAAAAAAGACTTTGACATCTCCCCAAAAGTGGAGAGGGTATGTGACTCACCTGTACTGTTGTCTTGAGTCACACCTCCCTGCATTCGTCTCTCGTAGCTTGGTTGCTAGGACTCTGATAATATTGATAAAAAGAATAAAATTTACCTGGAAGAGATAGAAAAAAAAAAAACAACAAACAAAAACAACAAAGAAAGGATAACTGTTAATAAAGATCCAGATGGTGATAATGCTGTTCAGTCAATGCTTTCCCCAACGTGAGTCAAGGGACTCGGGCAGTGAGCTGATCATGCTGTGTGTAAAGCTGCTTCTGGGGGAACTTGTCCTGTGGAAGGCATGAACTCCCCAGGAAAAATGCCAAAGGGTTTGATGGGATCTAGTCAGCTGTGTTTAACCTGAGTGGTTGAGAGAGAGAAGAGAATGGCTGTCTCTGACAAGGTATGGGCATCTCACATGGATACACCTACGTCTGAGCTAGCCAGCCTGGCAGACACCTGGTAACTGGATAGGATATCAGTATATAAGGCAGTGCTTATTAGACATTTTGAGGCCTGGATTACAGACAACTCTCAGTATTTTTCACATCATCTTTTTCAAAAACTCTATACAGTAATATGGGTCATTTTCATGGCCTCATAAATCTCACACTTTGTTTGGGGTCTAGGGAGCAGACTGAAATGAAGTTATATTTGTCTCTTGCAGCCCACCCAAGAATAAGATCTCCTCTGGCTAAGAGAAGCATTAGTAAGATGCCTTTCTGTACTTCCATGTGCAAAAGGAAAGAAGAGCAAACGAACTGCACCATGACAAAGACATGGAGTAGTCCTAACTGGACATGGCAGATGAAGAATGCAGAAAGGCAATAGAACTGTAAAACTGTTCTATGTACACTGATAACTGTCCCTCTGGAGGAGTGTTTAGTATGGACTAGATAAGGACAGTAAGTAATATCTATTTCCTATGCAGGGAGCCACATCTATAAGCCAGTCTTGTGGCCAGCTGCTCAACTGAGCTAATCTAGTCCTACAGGAACATGCTCATGGTGACCCATGCTGCAAAAGGTAACAGCAACATCTTATGGCTAGACTACCACTTACCAGAGGGGGGAAATGAGGAGATGCTTGAGGGATTCTCAGCTTTTTGGAGCTCTTCAGAGACTGGTTTCACTAGAGCTGGGATTACATCTGCTGCTGCTGCCCCAGACTAAGGCAAGGCCACAAGCAGAGCTATCGTGTAACTGTCCACTGGGCTCATCCATGTTGCTGGGCTAATGCTGATGCCTATGGGTTTCTTTTCAGGCTTGCAGCAGTCATTTGACTTCTCACATGCCAATATAGTGGCATTTCAAGGAAACAACTTACCATGCCACACACATGCTCATAGTTTTATGCCAGAAGGGACCATTGTGAACCTTTAGTCTGATCTCCTGCAAAATGCAGTCCATAAGACCTTCTTGTATTCATTTTTGTTTGAGCTATAGCAGATCTGTGTTTCAGTGTTTCCATGACGGAGATCCTACCACAACCATTGCTAAGTCGTTCCAATGGTTAATTATCCTCACTGTTAAAACAAGTAGTTCCCTGAGCCACTGAATGAACACGGCCTGGTTTGCTATGGCTTTGTCTTCTGTGGTTGGATTCCTTCTCCTTTAATGAGGTGCAAGTTCATTTTGAACAGCTCTCCTCTGTGTTAAAAAGGAGGTAAGGTCATACTACACCCTTTCCCTTGAAGGGGCATTAGTAGAATTTCTCTCCCATATCTACTCAACTGTTTTAATGAGGTTTGTGGGAATTTAACATCCATGCAACCCCATTCTCTTAGTTACATTTGGTTGGAATTTACTGACTGGCACAAAAGCTATAAGAGAGGGATGGGTAGACTGACAGGCAGAGAAGCATACAGCCTGGGGGCATATAATTAATTTTCATTGAAAACCAATCTGAAAGGGAAAGAAAAGGGAAAAAAAAAAAAAGCAGGCTTTGTTTCTCATACGAGTTTTTCTAGCTTCAAAAGCTCAAAAGTGGCATATTGTTCTGCATTTGTTAGCTAAATTGAAGATGTCCAACTGTATCACAGTCAAGAGAGAAACTCCTCTGACTTCCTGAAACATGTGCTAAGTTTCAAAAGAAATCCAGACTACTGAATATCATCAAAGCTATCAGCAGAGTGGATGGATTTTTAAGCCCCTCAGCCTCCAAAATCTCTGCACTACATCCAGAAAATGCATAACTTAGTCCAGCAACATATGACAAGCCAGTGTGGGAACTGAAAAAACAGCCAAGTGAACAATATGAACCCACAGAAATTAAACAGAAACAACCCACAGAATATATTTGCATGATGAATAGCTGCATTTGCAAATAGCCAGGGTACAAGCACAGTAGAGCCTCATGGAGAAACATTATTTTTACAAGGACGAGCCTCAATTGAGCTCTTTCTCCTCTCCTAATTGGGCTTTAAATTAAATGCAATGGGGTTGCTGGCATTCATGTAGTTGAACTATCTGAACTTTCTCCATCCTACCATTTCTTTTCCAAAGACCACGATGTGGGCTTGGTGATTTGTGTCTTCCAAGGTGCAGAATCAGGCTAGAGCCAGGTGGAGAATTTTCACCAAAAGGAAATTATGACGAAGAAAAAAACCCCCAAATCCAAAGCAGCTCACCTAATCGCACATATGAGCATATTCACCTCAGAAACCTTCCTGATGTTTATATGCAGGTGGTCTGATCTTTTTCTCACCCACACTCATCATCTTCCAAGGCTTCCTGGTTTGTGAGTCAGAAGGAATTATACAGAGCTTGATGCAAAACCCTCTGAAGACTATAGAGAGGTTCATGGATGAATGTAAAGGGGAACTAGGATGCGTGGCAGTAGACAAGCTCTTCTCCATGCCCACATCTAACCATCAGGAGACGGAGTAATGGAGATTCATAGAGATAGACAGAGGGAGCAGAGAAGGTAATTAAAGAAAACTCTCAAAGCAGGTTCTCTAGCTAATTAGGACCCTCCTCTAGCAAACACACAACTACCCATTGAATTCCCTTTGCACAAATAATCACATCTTATAATGACTTCTCCAGCTTGTGAGAGCTCAGTCCTGTGTCTGGATAATGTTACTTATATCCTTTCTGTTCCTTTTGGCTATTGGATGGGGGCTGAAGTAATCCTCCATCAGTGATGAACATCATGTCCAATCATAGCTGGGATGGTTTAACTTCCATCCCCACCTTTGAGGTAGCCAAAGCTTTTATCAGTTCAAAAACATTGTCTGAGACAATCTAATGACACTGAAGCATGACTGGACAAAAGGTTTGGTCTAGTTATGGGACCCAAATTCCAGTTTTTCCCATTGGAGATGCCTGCTGGGAACATGTTATTAACCCTGAGGGTTTCTCCCTATATAATATGGGTTGGAAATATTGGCTTGAATATTTGTTTAATTAATGATTTTAGCGTCTTACTCTTGTGTCATTTTTCTCTCCTAAGCAAAATTTGAAGTTGCTCATAAACCCTCTGTAGTATGCAGCGATCAAACTTAGAGGCAGGTCAAATATAAAGCCCTTAAACTGGATGTATGAAGGCTCCAAGTTATTAAGGCAGGAGCTGTGTTAACAGGGTGATTAGAGTAAGATAGCCTGGCTCAACTCTTCTCACTGGGCTTGCACTGACCAAAGGCACTGCCTCCAAACCCTTGCAATCACCCAGTACTCACCACGATAGCTGCCAGGATGGGCACCTGAATAATCCATTTTAAATTGCCAGCACTCAAGTCCCAACACCTGAGAAGAGATTGACATCCAATCAGGAAATCATTGGTTACAAAGAGCAACAGAATCAAGCTTCTTGTTGGATAAATCCACCCTGAAAGGATGAGTTCCTCCAAAGCCTGGTGTGGTGGAAGGACCTTGCTTTACCCCTGCCTTCAGTAATTGTGGCTTCAAAATTAGCCCCGTCTCCTGCTGTTATAATATTCAAAGCTGAAATCACTCCTAAACACGTGTAAAGTTGTGCTTTCCAGCTGGTGGAACTGCTATTTTCACAGTCATCAAGACTTGTCCCTCCTTCTGTTTTTTTTTTTTCCACTTCTTCACCTTCTTACTGTAAAAAACTACACTAAGAGTAATCCAGCTTTCACGAAAATAAGAGGCTGAAATAGAATTACCCCTTGGAATTAACCTGCACAATGTTGCATGAGTCCTGTCTGAAGACATGGTGATGACAACATTGTTCTACATTCAGTTCCTGGGCTTCCTTCAGACCTGCCAGTGAGACCCAGCCATGCCTCACAAAAGCCTTTATCTCCTTTTCATCTTTAGCCCTTATCCAAGTGAGGACTGGAAGGGCAAGCTGTTGGTGGCGTGGATGTTGGGCTACAATCCTCCGTCTGCCAAGAAGGGGCTGAACACTATTTCCTCTGAGGAGTTTCCAGCAGCTATTAAATAAGGTCACTCAGTGTTAGTTACTCTGAATTCTCTCCAACCACAGAGAGAGGAGTGCCACAGGCTTTTCTTTATCTGAGCCAGACAGCCCGCACAGGGCAGTTGAAGTTTTCATTTCATGGGCCAGATACTGCCCAGGCAGCTATTCAAGGAAAGCGAGAGGCAGGGGCACAGAAACAGAAACCACCAGTGCTGACTGAAAGACTCTACGAGGACAAGCCTGTGCCAATGCAGAAGCATCAGACTCCAGTAGCTGTGTTACTCCATCCTTCCAAGCCTGGAGCTAATATCCCATTTGGAAAGCAGTGTCCTCCCAGGGAAAGCCTTTGAAAAGTTACCTGGGGACCCCACACTTCCGCTGGCAGATCATGGGCTGGTGAAACCCATTGTGTGGTCAAGCCTGTGCATCATAGGGAGAAAATGTGTTTGTCTGGGGGTTTGAAGATTGGATGCTATGGAACCTTCATTCAGCACTGTAAGAATATGAGGCCATGAGGGTGCAAGTGTAGAACCAAGAAGCAGCTGATCCATACCTTGTTTCTGACAGTATCCAGAAGCTGATATTTAGGGTGGAAAAGTAGTTCCACCTAAGCAGATAGTAATGCTTTTCTAGATTTTTCTTTCAACAGTTTGCTGTTCAGGATGGCTTCCTGAGCCAGAGCACTACTGAGTATCTAAGACTTCTAGAGGAAGTATCTTCCATGAATTTGTACAAATGCTTTTTAAACCTAAGGACATGCTGGCATCCACACCTGCATGGATGAGTTACAGCTTCATCACTTCATCAACACCAAAACACCTTCTTTGACTGTGCTGAACCTGTTATCTCTCAACTTCATTCCCATTCATTCAGGATTTTAAAGATCTCTATCCTGTCCCTGCCTAGCTGTGAAGCAGTATTCTTTAGCCCCAGGGATAACAGCTGCAGGTGTTCACATTTATCACATTCTGTAAAATGAAAGGAAAGCTTGGAAAGTTGCACCCACTTTATCCTTTCCTGCCATACTTACCCCCAGAAGTTTGTTAACTTCATAGTAGAAATCTCTTCTGGCTTTGCCAAAAGCCCCACAAAAAGCGTAACACGTAAAAGAGAGAAAAGAAAACACAATGCAACTTACTCTGTGTCGGCTAGAGTGGCTCTCACGCTGGCCCATGCTGTAACAAATACAGCAGGGAGTCCTGCAAAAAAACACAGGTCAAATGGGGTGAGAAGGGGGACTGGAGGCATGCATTACCATAAGCCCAGGTGGAGTGGGCTAGAGGAATGTGGAAGAAGCAGTTTTTAAATATTCAAGCATAATTAGACTACGAAAGCCTGGTCTTGGTGTCATGTCTGTTCAATGGTAAACCAAACAGTGACAGGGAACATCTTCTGGAAGACAAATGTCATGGTCTGGGCATGTCCACCCCGGTGAACTCTCCTGGCTTTTGAAACAGAGCAGCTTGTTCTCCAGAGTCCCAGGAGCAGTCCAGGCTTAAGCTATCTCCTGATTCGTATTTGGGTGATAGCCATGTGTTCTGAGCCTGGGATGGTCATGGACTTGACAAGGATAAATCATCACGTCCCGTGCCTTTCCTCTAATGCTACTTTATAGATACACAGCCTGTAGTGTTTGAACCTGCATGACTGATACCTCCTCTAGCCCATTCATTCCATTTGCAGCAGAGAAGGGTTTCATGCAGCACACATTTCCCAAGGCATTTGTTCCCTTCCCCTGCATCAAAGAAAGGGCATCTGGAGTCAGGCTCAGACCGTTGCTCCCACCAAAGGGCTGGATGGATTAGAAGCTTGTTAAGTGTTAGAGACTTGTTGCATGAAGCAGATAAGCACTAAAATTTAGAGTAATGTTTGTAAAATACGCTAGCCAAAGGTTTGTTCCCAAATGAACCACCCTCATTTCAGCCACAGTGACGCTGGGCTTCATCTTTTCCCTGTGAAAAGTAGAATCACCAATAACCAAATGCAACCTTCGATTTATTTTTTTAGGGTCCGGTTCTGCTTTATTTGTACAACTGAGTCCCCTACTGGCTTCCCTTAAAAGGCAGGGTCAAAGCCATAGTAGCTTCCACAAATTCAAGAATAGCCCCTTTCAGGTGAGGGGGAAAAAAAAAAAAAAGTAAAGGTGGCATTTATCACTGATGACTGTAAATATGCTGTTCACAGCCTAAGCTCATTGGGGCTTGGCATGCATAAGCACACGCTTAACTTTCAGCATGCACTTAAGTCTCATTAGGGTGCTTAAAGGCTTTCCTGACCACGGACGCTTTCCTGAGCTGGGGTGTAGAGCAGGGATGCCTGTCTCATACACGTATGGACAATGGAGGTGTTATCTTGGTTCAAACTTTAAATGCCATGGTAATGTAAGAAAGCATAAATAATTAAACACAGAGCCTCACTCAGGACCAGTGCAGCAGTGCTGCCTACAAAGATACATTTATAAGGAATGCACCCTTCTCTATGACCCCCTGCAACGGCTGGCATTGGAAAGAAAATACTTAACCTATTGCACTGGGAACCCATGAGCATGTTGAAGCAGAGGGACTGGGGAGGGTGATGATTTATTTTAACAAGCATTGTCTATTTCCTCCTCACTGTTAATCTCCTACCTATGAAAAATACGTGCATGCTCCAGACTACTGGCTGAGATATCAAAGGCTTAAATGCATGTAACTGTGCTGATATTGGCGATACTCCAGTTTATATCAACTGAGAAACCGGCTGTGTGGAAAGGCTGACATGCCTGCTGCCTTCCTGCAAAACAGTGGATGTTCACCCACTATTGTGAAGCTCTAAATTTGAAAGATTGATTGTTTCAGAGATTTGGATGTGTTTGACATGTGTTTGTTCCTCTCTAGCCTGTCCTGCACTTCAGAAGAGATGCTGTCCCCATTCATACTAATCCTGTGCTGTGTTCAAGGTTCCTACCAACAACAAAATATACAGAAGAAAATAATTACTCCTAAAAAAATCCCTATGTGTGAGTTTATTGTGCCCTGTGTGTTGCTGCCTCATTTCGTTCAGGCAAGCCTAGGAAAAGGATCCTTGATATTTTCTGCAAAACACACCAAGTGAATTCCTGGTACCAGTTTTATTGCTACATTTGTCTTTCTGTGTCTTCTACATCATTTTTCTTTTGCAGTGTGAACAATCATAGATGTTTTTTAATTCACAAAAAGTGATATGAATCCTCTCCCTCCTTTCCTCTGCCTCATTTTTAAATTCTTTCTACATCAACATGTCATGGAGTGCTTGGGCTGTCAGGTAATTTGTAGATCTAATTCTCACACTGTGGTAAGCTAGTCTTTCAACATGAAGATTCAGAAGGTTTAGCTTTGCCTCCAGCATGTCTTTCACTTTCAGAGGGTGACAACTGACTTTCTGGTGTCTCCATTTGTAAGTCCTGGTCTGTGATGCCCCAAGATTGACAATCCCTCCTGCTGAGCACTCATAGCACTCACTGATGGGAGAGCCATGAACCCCCAAATCAGGACTGATGTCCTCAAAGCTGGACATCCAAAGATATCTGGAAACAGCAAGAAACCTGAAAGGATGCAGCTCTGTCAGCAGCAGAGTCATTCATGATTAAATGCATCTGACCACCTCACCAGAGAAAGGAAAGCAAGTCTCCAAAAAGCCTGTGATCTCATTTGTGGCTGTTAGCACAGACAGATGCATGCAAGGATGAATGCATGCGTGTCCTCCCCCTTGCACGTATGTACCCCACGTGCACGACCGGTGTGATGCAGGATGAACCCCACCAGGTGGTGATGCTGTGAGTGACTTCTACAGAATCCACATTGTATGCGCTGTGCATTTCCAGTCAATACACACAGTGTGTACAATGCAGGTGCTATAAAGTCAGGTATCTCCCCAGCAGCTGGAAAATGTGCAGACCTCAAGCTGGGCAAAGTCTGGTGGCCAACCCAACCCCCTGCTCTCCTCTGTTGCTTTTCTTGTGTACATGTCTGCTAGCAATTGGAAAAATGGCTTTCATGCATGAGCCAAAGCTGTGAGTAAGGGAGGTGGTTGCAAAGCAACTGGTAGAAGAAAGCGTATGAATAAAGACCTTATGCAGGCCTGCAGAAATCTGGTCTCAGTTCCCTGGTATTTGAAAACCTCTCTGAGGAACAATACATGTGTTTTTTCTGCCTAACTGTCACAGTTTCCTAATATTAAATGGGGCTAGTAACACCCTTTTTTGCCTCTTGTCCTGTTAGGTATGAATACTTTCAGGCAAGGATGATTTCTGCTTAGATAAATATGCAGGGCTCACCATCATGGGGTTTTTGGACCTAAGCACCTCTAACAGTACCACATTGATCTATTTGTCTTTTCCAGGTCTTCCTGCAATCCTCATCTGCACCGTAGCTGCAAGTCAGTGCAGTCCAGTCAGTGGCAGTGAATTAGCACGATGTGAAGGAAAAATGCCAGTGGAATCAGTTTGGGTTTTCTAGCTATTGGTCATGCTTCTTAGACTTCCTTCATAAAACAGCTGCAGGGAACTTGAAGTCTGCTGGGGAATTTATTGTTGCCCATAATACCAGTATTTATTTATTTTTGCTGGGTGCTGGCAAGGAACAAGTTCCCTTCTGTCACCAGTGTCTCCTTTGCAAGAAGGGTGCTGCAGACTTACGGAGCTGTGCTCCCTTGTGCCAGTGAGGATGTGGATGGAAAAGACTCAATAGAAATCTTTGGGTATGACATCAAAGAGTGACTGTATGTTCTGGTTTCTTCAGTAGTCTGGAAATAAGGTGTTACAGGGTCATTTTTGCTCCTTGCTTCCACCTTGGAAATTTCAGGCAGGATAAATATGCCACTGTTTATTGTTATGCAAGCAAACAAACACAAAAAAACAGAGCTTTTTGGGCAAACTTGTCTTTTCTGTACCTATGTGGAAGGTTATCATTATTTATCACTGATTCCCTGTCATTCATTGCTGTTGTATGGACAGGATCCAGCTCCCACTGCAGGGAACTGGAGTTTTTTCACTGTCTCCAGTGGGTCTTGGATTGGGTTGCTCTTGCAAATGCCCAAAAGCTATCAAAACAATACGTCTGTGTGTGTGTGTGTGTGTACATTATCATGCTAATCAAAACAAAGCAAAACCAAATGCAACTGGAGGGATCCTATGTTCTTATTCCAGAGGAATTTAAATTGAGCAGCCTCAAGCTTTTGGAAGCACATGGATGATTGGTGTTGTGACAGGTGTGACTTCAGCTTTGTGGTTGCTCTGATAAAATGATTATACTCTGGCAGTGGCTGGAAGAATTAATGAGAGAAACCCATGCCTGTTAGACTGTTTTCCTTTGTCTGCATTACGAGCAGCATCAAGTTAGTTTTTCTTGTTAAACATATGGCATTATTTTCCAGCTGTTTCCCTCTTTTCCAGAATTTGCTCTGGGGAATTGCTTTTTTATGTCTGCTCTGTACAGTTTAATGTCATTTTCTGAGAAGCAAATTTTATGTACCTTGAAGGTTTGGAAGAGGATGAGTATGGGGTTTTTCTGGATTTGTGTTTTGTTCATTGGTTTTAAAAAAGAAGTGACATCTAAAGTCTTCTCTGCCTCACAGCAGCCGAGGTAAGAAATGCCCTGTCTCCAAAATACTTCACAAAATCACAGAATCATGCACAGAATCACAGAATGGTTTGTGTTGAATGGGACATGGAAAGATCGTCTATTCCAGCTTCCAAGGTGGCAAGGGTTTTCCACCATCCACATACTTCACACCCCTGGACTTCTACAGAAATTGTGAAAACAGGGATTTTAAATCCCAATCTATTCAGCCTTCATTGCACTCCCCTAGCCTCCCTGTGACCCTTTTGTGCTTCAGTACTGTATGGGTACCTACCAACTGTTTGGGACTGGACTTTGCCTGAGAAATGGATGTCGCCTTTGGGACTCATATTTACACCTTCCATCTTTATCATATGACATCACCACCAGTTTCTGACCTATGCATTGGCTGAACATGAGGTTAGCAAGGAGTTTGTGGTCCTTTTCTTGCCCATATGACACTTTGGAAAGAGGATAGCTGAAGAGAGTCCTGCAGGCTGGACTGCCCTGGGTTACTGAATCCTTTGCTTGTTCTCACAAAGAAAAACTCTACAATCCTCTATAAACTCAGCTCTGCACTATCTGGCTTGCTCAGAGCTCCACTGTTAGAGACACCAGTTTTCTTCCGAAGAAATCATGTTCTGGAATGTGGGTGGTGTGGTGCACGCATTAATCTTGTCCTAAAATGCAGTCAGGATGTGGCCAGGTACATTTTGGTCTTTTTTTGGGAAGTGGTTCTGGGCCATACAGTTTAGGGATAACTATAGACACCTCTGAACAGGTTTTTCCTGCTGTAAACTCGTTTGTAGACCTACACCCTATTATTTTTAGTTATGTCCTCAAGGATCGTCTAATACATTTCCTGTTCTCCTTTACAGTCCACACACCTCAGACAACTGTGGGCAGTTGTTTTATTGTCCTCAGCCTACTAGCACCTCATAACTCCTCGCAAGCCAAGGCTAATGCCAGAAGTGAACAGAAAGCACATTCTCGTCTGAAATGTGTGTGCCCACAAAGTATTCTGCTAATGAGGACCCTCCCTGCACCCACATCCCGCTCCTTTTTCCTTACTCCAGGGAAAGATGCCCAGGTTAAAAGAAAAGGAAAAAGAAAAGACTTCCCCACAAATTACAGGTTTCTCCTGGTGTTCCAACACTCATGAAACCTCAGGAGCTTTTTAAAGCAACTGAGATATGAGGTAGGAAATCAGAGCTCAGGTCTGCCACTGGGAGCAGATGCTCACAGCCCCATGCAGATTTCTGCCCCTCCAGCCCAATGCCTGTTTCTCAGCAGGAGGCACTTAGTAGAGATGGATATATCTCAAAAGCTGCACTAAAATCAGCTGTCACATGCAGACATCTGCTGCCCAGGAAAAATGACAAGATATGTTGTCACTCCAAGTCTGGGCTGATACTTCCAAAGATCCTGGAAGTGCCACAGCTTAAATACAACAATTTAGAAATGATAATGGTTTCACAAGAGACCTAACCAGTCCTTGCAAGAGTCACGGTGTCTCTGATGCTTACTCTGCCTCTCTCCCTTCTCCTGTATTTATGTATATGTCCTAGGTTCAGCTACAGCAGTCATTTTTTCTCCTTCTTAGTAGCTGGTGCAGGGCTGTGTTTTTGACTTTCAGCCTGGAAACAACGCTGATAACACCGATGTTTTTAGTTGTTGCTCAGTAATGTTTACTCTGACCAAGGACTTTCTCAGTCTCATGCTCTGCCAGAGAGGAGGGGAAGGCAGGAGGAAGCAGAGGCAGGACACCTGACTCAAACTGGCCAAAGGGGTATTCCATACCACAGCACGTCATGCCCAGTATAGAAACCGGGGGGAGTTACCTGGAAGGCCCAGATCGCTGCTCGGGTCGGGCTGGGTATCGGTCGGCGGGTGGTGAGCGGTTGTGTCCTCTCCCCTTGTTATTCCTCTTATCATTATTATTGGTAGCAGTAGTGATTTGTATTATACCTTAGTTACTGGAGTGCTGTTATCTCAACCTGTGGGAGTTACATTCCTCCAATTCTCCTCCCCATCCCTCCGGGAGCGGGGGGAGGAGGGAAGAGGAGCGGGGGGAGTGAGCGAGCGGCTGCGTGGTTCCAAGTTGCCAGCTGGGCTTGAACCACGACAGTATATGTACTATCTGCTTCAAAGACTACATCTAACAAGCTTCTTACAGATCAACTGTAAGGAGCAGCCATGACTTACCCCAGCCAAATAATGTGAATCCCCAAAGATACTTCTTCTCTGAGAAAAATGCCATGAAGATGAGGCTGTGGAGATAGAGCCCTTCCACCAGAATCCAGTAGTAATTGGTTGCCAGGAAGTAAAGGAAGAAGGTAACCGCTACTTTACAGCCTACCTGCAATGACCACAGAAAGACAGGGTTAGGTGAGGAACATGGTGCAAAATTCTTGTTCTATGTAAAACCATAATTTACCAAAATGGGCTGGAAAACGAGATGGAGAAAGGAAATAAATACATGAGAAAATTCCATTCCAGGGTTTTTACAAGGGGGAAAAATCAGTGCAAGAACAGAAGAGATGACCAATTGAGAAGAAAGCTTCCTCTCATTCTAATATTGTGTGTCCAATAGCGGGTGACTTGGGAGATGTAGGAGGACAGGGCACTTGTGGAGATGCTGACCTGATCTTACTGTCTCCCAATCCCAGTGGTGAGGATCTCACACGCTTTCTAAGGCATCTGTGTTTCATTTTTTCCCTGTGTCTCTTGTCAATGTTAGAGGGGAAAGGGCCGTAGCCTTGGTCTGGGTGACCTGGTGCAAGTCACATCACTTGGAAGTACTCAGCTCATGGAGAGATATGGGCACCATGCTGAGGGTGAGTCATCTCATCCTGTCATGAACATCTAAGACAGGGTCTTCCAGGGCTGCCTGTCTTTCCTCAATGATTGTGAAAACGCTCTAGATGTGTGCTGTAGGCTTTGATGACTGGTCCTCCAAGAGCAAACAGAATCTAGAGGATTTTACCCACAAGGTCAAGGTGTTTTCTAAACAGACCTAAGCTGCAAGATGGAGACCTGGTAGAGACTTCCAGGACATGCTGATCTTAAATGGGCTCTTAAGCTGACCTCTTATTCCACACTGACCTGTAAACCTTTGCTTTCATGGGAGGAAAACCCTCACTGAGACTCAAGGCTCCCCTTCCCATTTGGCACAGTGGGGTAAAGCCACCCTTCTTTGAGAGGGAGTAGGAAAGGATGGAGAGAGTCTGTGGAGAGTGAGGAAAAGGGGAAGCTGGTGTAGAAAATCCCAACAAAAGCGGTCAGATGTCCAGAGAGGACAGAAGCACGAAGCCTGGAGAAAGGTCTGCTCCAGTGATACTCACAAACTGCGATTTATCTGCTGGAGGTGCTTCAGTAATGGATTTCAAGTCTTCTTCTGAGATCCTTTCCATCTCCTCCAAAGCTGACCCAGAGTACAAGACTGCGTCCTTCACGAAGATGCTCACGGCTCTCAGCATGAAGGAGACAAACAGGTGCATGTGGATGTAGTTTCTAGTGCAGTGCAAACGTCTGGAGGAGAAGACACAGAAGGATTGGAGTATTTTAGCCCATCTGTTGGATTGTCTCAGTGTTCACCTCTGCTTCTGAAGAGCCCCAACTCCTCTCATCAGCACTGTGCCACCATGGGAAGCAGTGCTAGTGCCACTGCTGCCCTGTGCTCACAGTTCACACATGGGGTTGGTAAATAAATTAAAACCTTCTCCAGGGTTTTGGCTGCAGCACACTGCTGCTGACTTTGCATCAGGACAATGCTGTGCCTGTACTCACTTTAACTCCTTTATTTCTGGCTGGGAAATCTTGCAAAGAAATAGGGATGCATTTTGCCTGTGTTGGGCATGGGTAGTGAGCATGCATGCAGCAGGCAGCATGGGCAGTGAATCTACATCCAGAGGATGGTGTGTGTGCAGTGCACATGCAGCTGGAGGAAGGTATGTGGTATGCAGTCCATACTCAGTGTGTGCAAATCTGGAGTGCAGTGTGTGTGCAGTGTGCAGGCACCTGGAGGCAGTGAGAAGTGCATTTGTATGAAGCAGATGTGCAATGTCTGCACATCTGGTGAACACCAGGACTAATGTAGTGAGTGCGCAACTGATGTGCAGGGTATGTGCAGTTAGCATGTATCCAGCATGCAGGGTACATTCAGGGCATGTAACATCTGGTGTGCAGTATGTGTGCAGTGAGCCAACAAAGCTGTGCAGTGTGTGCAGGCTGTGCACATGCCACTATGCAGTGTGTGCATGATGAGCATGTCCCTGGTGCTCAGTGCACATACAATGAGTGTGCGTCAGACATGCAGTCGTTTTCCAAGATGTACAGACAGAAGGCAGGATACATGCACAGTGGTCACTGATACTTAAGTGTGTATCCTATGTGTCCCCCTTTCACTGTTAAATCCATCCCTTCAACAAATACACCCTCCTCGATGTCAAACCCTGCATTTGAAAACCTCACATTTATCTATCTGCACTTTGTGTAGAGAAAATAGACTACAGAGGTTAGAGTCCTTTTGGCCACTAAAAAGCTTGCAGAGGTTCTTGTAAACTGCTAATCTTTGTGCCCATTCCAAATTCAGTAGCAACCATAATAGTTACTATGGAGTGACAGGCTGCTTTCTTGTTTCAATTAGAGATGCTATCCTTTGCTTGGTCATGTTGAGCAGTTTCTGGGCTCCACCCCAGCAATGGCAGCAATGACCCCAAATGCTGATTGTAAAGCGCTTTAAGATCCTTTTCGGGGAAAAGCCAGATGGTAAGAAGTGAATGGGTTAGGCTTGTACCTATGAAGTGTGTTTTACAAATAGTGATCGTACCTTTGGGCAGAAGAAAGAATTAACTGTCCTGTTGAGGTCCCTTCTGTCCTCTATAGCTCGGTTGCCTGGCTAACCATGCAGGAATAAATTTATACCCACTTAAATCCCCAGCTCTAAAAATGGAAATAAAAAATCAAAGCTGTGGTTTTTTTCTCCTTTGGAGGAGATTGTTACAGTAATAGTGGTTGTTTCCTGTGCTATTATAATATAAATTGTGCCAAGTGGAACTGCTGAGGTATCAAAGATGGGCTTTGTTCCCTGCATTTGAGAAGTAATTACTGAATTTCTGGATTATGTATTATCTGGAATAAAATCTGGCTTTGTCCCTGATGCTGCTTTGATCCTTGGGACAAAGACATTTTAGCACAGTTGCCCGTGTAGTCTGGGCTGTAAATGAAGTGCTCTGACTACATGAATAAAGAGAGAGTATGTCTCCTGAAACTAGTAGTACTCTTCCGTATATGAACATTAAATATTTGAACAACCTGCCAGGGTCTAGTGGGAAATTAAACAGAAGGGAAAGGGTTGAGAGGATAGAAAGGTGGTGGCAGGGATGGGTTCTGGGACTACATCACGTGAAGTGTTTCCAGGCGGAGGCCGCAGTCCCCTTTGGCTCTAATGTGTCACGGATTCAGGTGCTGGGATGCTCTGCTATACAGACAAATCCCCCTGACCGCCATTTGCTCACTGCAGAGAGGTCTGAGCACTTTTAGAGCCAAAGGCCACACATTTTATACCCAGTGGTATGTGTCTGGGGCTTAGCTTGAGCTTGCACAGTGGGAGCTGCTGAGTCCATCTGCAGACACCACGTGGCTGTTTGCTGTGTAGAGAATTTCCCTCCACAGCTGTTGTCTGGGTCCTGCTCTCTGCTAGGAGAAGATACTGCCAGCCACTGAAGGGAAGCAAATCTGGGACTCAGGGGATCAAAGGTCAGCACCCTGCTCTATCTGCAGCTCACCAGGTATGGTTTCCCAAAGCCAAACTTCTAGCCATGAGTGACTCCTTTCATACCTCACATCCCATGGTCTCTGTGGCAGCAAGAAGATGGAATAGCCAGGCTCGAGGAAAGGATGGTATAGGTTCAAGATATATCTAGGGGTCTACATCCCTTGGCAGGGGTGATGGAAAGGGAGGGCAGACAATCAGAGTTAGGAAGGTGAGTGGTCATTTTTGGATGGGGCCCCATTCAACTGGTCTATCCTTCATGAATATTTAGTTTTAGAGTGGAATTTCCCTTATGAAACCTTAGCTATCTAAAAATTAGCCATCTAATAATCTAAGCCAGTCATTGGAAGGTGTGATAGGGACAGAAAACCCCAGATAGTCTTCCAAGGGAGACACACCTCTTCCTGAAGTTGCCTCTCTTCCCCTTTGCTACAGAGAGGATCTAGAAAACTCCATTGCAAGCAAACGGAAGAAGTTCAGACATCCCACCCACCATCCCCCAAGAAGTTTGACCTACGTGCCACTAACACAGCCCAAAGCACAGATGCAACCTCTTGTGGCTTGCTGAAGAAGCACATGCCACCCCAGTTGTATCTTTCAGGAAAGCCTGAGGCTTTTCCAGTCTAGTGAGAACTCACTTAGGTAGAAACAGAGCCGCCTACCTGAAGTATCCCAGGATAAGGACAGCAACTGTGAGGGATCCCAGAGAGATGGAGTATCCAACAGTATAAATCAAATAGAGGCGATCAAAGACCTCCTGCAGTACAAATGATGGAAAAAATAGCGTCACATTAGAACGCATCCTACTGCATTGTAACACAACCGTGGTAGCAGCACAGAGATTCAGGCTATCATATTTGCTGGGGGTGTACAGCTCAGGGTCTGGAAAACCTTTGGCAATCATACTTCTTGTCACCTTTTTGATGTAAGATCAGCTTCGAAAACGGTATTCATTTTTCCTAATGACTGGAGAGAGCCAGGATTCTTGCAAGGGACTAGTGATGGAGTTTGGTTAATCTCATGTCTGGGAGTTTTGCAACATTTTCATCCCAAAGAAACCCAAAGCGCTTTACAAACTCAGCCAAATCGAGAGATCACTTGGCAACTTTTGCTTGAACAAAATGGCCATTGACTTGGGATTTTTTTATGGAACTTTAAAATTTAGCCATAAGGCTGTGCCATACCATTGCTGAATGACTGATGTCCATGCTGGTGGAGTGTTGACCCACCACAGAAAATATAGGGAGGATATATTTTGGCTGTAGGATATGAGAAGAAATCACCTGTATTCATTTTTCTTTTTTAAAATCAGAAGCAGCCAATGACTGCGGTTATCCAAACCAGACACAACTTCAGCTTGCCAAAGTCCCATTGGAAATGGTCCTGTCACAGGAGAGGTTATAGTAATTAATCCTGTAGTAGATTTTAGTTCTCTTGGCCCCCTTATATTTTAAAGTTGGCCTTAGAAACCCTAAGGTTTCCATGAAATCTCGAGATAGTTTTCTTCATCCTCTGCTGGGGCATGCTGCTTTACTCAGGGATTACTGAATATCTGCCTGAAAAGGGTTAAAATGTCTGCCACCATCCTAGCTTGTACTGCCTTTCATCATCTGAAATTAGAAATAAACCCCAAAGAAATCAACAAATTCAGCATCTTTCTCCTTGCTTCCTCTTCCCCTGCCTCCTCCTGCTTTTCCCTCACCCCACCCACTGGGTTACAATATTAGTAATGCTGAGCTCTGAATGACAGCTCTGATTTTTATTTGAAGCTAGAAATGCTGTCCTGGAATGTGAAACCTCAGCCCTATTACATCAGAATCCCCAGATATGTGAATGTTTCTTTGCGGTTTCCATTGCTAGAGTGGTGTGCTTGGCAATATTAACCTAGTGTGTATGTGTGTATTTATATATGTATGTCTATATATCTGTGCAGGCAGCAGGCACTAAAAAGCCACTGTGAGCAGATTTGAGAGCTTTAGGGGATAAAAAAAAGCTCCTTCCCTTCTAAGCCTGGTATATACTTTACCCGCTGCCAAGCTGGAATCCTCGTTGAACTGGAAAATGGTGAACATTTAAAATAAAATATAAAAATCCTATTCCAGGTTTAGAATTCTTTGTAGTTCATCAGTTGTGAGGTGTTACTATGCCCAGCTGAACAAAAGTGGCCCTGAGCCCCATTCAGAAATTTAACCGGAAAGATCCACGTTCCTGTCAGACGACACTGTTGTAGCAGCCATGGTCTTGGGAAGGGCCTGCTGATTGGCTGGTAGGACGTTTTCAGAGGCTGTGGTTAATTCCTCTGATTAACCACAGGGCCTCTTTTTGAAAGGATATTGAGTCAGAACTGCCAAGACATACACATGCATGCATGCATGCATGATAGTGTGCTTGCTTGCATAGATAGGATGCTACAAATCTTACCCAGTGTCACGATGGGGAGCCTTCAGGGAACATGATTTTTTGGATGGGGGGGGCTTAGGTCCTTAAGGAAAGCTTCAGAAGCAAAAGGTTGAGGGTCTCCAAAGGCTGCACAGGGCAGCCCTTGGGAGGGCAGCTCATGCTTGTTAATTCCCAGGAGTGTTCATCCTCAGGAATGGTGAGACTTGGATTTACTCAGGAGGAAAAAAAAACCTGCCACAACACTTTAAAGGCAGTTCCAGGTCTCACTCATCTCCTATCACAAGGGAGGTCCCAGCTTGGTGGAAACCACAATGCTGAATCAGGAAAGGTCCTCCAGGTAACAAAATATTGAGTCATCTGCCAGCTGAAACAACCACCTCCATGGTCTGAGAACCCTCTCTTTGGAGCTGACATGGATGGCAGTTTAAATAATTCACAGAAGACCACAAGGTTCATGCATGGCCAAGCCATAGACACAACCTGGACCTTCATAGTTTCAAGGCAGTGCACTAGCTACTAGACCATCCTGCTACAGCAGGAGCTCTACCTGATTTATCTTACAAATCCACTCTGAATATAGACTGACCATCACTAGTCATCCCCAGACCTGCTGGAAGAGGCAACCCATCCTGCAAAAATCTAGCCTTGCCACACCATGAGACCCTGGTTTAAAAAGTTTTATACTTTAACCAAATCTTCTGATTTGACTCCTGCAGTAATCCTTTGCTGTTTCAACTGCTTACACATGTGCACTGAAAAAAAAAAAAAAGCTGAGAAAAAGCTAAAGGAAACAGGGCTTGCAGAATAATGCTCTGGAAACCTTCCCTTCACATGGCTGAGCTAGTCGTGGTTGCTCTTGGAGGATGCTGGGCAGGATGAGGTCCCCTGATGTGGCTGAGCTACTTTTGGTGTTGGAGAAGTGACTTCTGATCAAGTCATGCACCATATATCCTCTCTAGGTCATGCTCTGTGATGCCCTCAGGCACTGCACAGCTGCAGGGCACTTCCTTGCCCTCATCCTCTCTGGTCACACATTGCAAAAATCCACCAAATCACAGCCATCTGTCTTATACAGCCAGGTGAAATGACCTTTCTGTGAGCTAGCCCGCCTGGTCCTGCCTTCCCAATCTTGCTCCAACCATAACTCAGAGACTCAAAATAGACCAAACAGCAAAAACCATTAAATACTATTTCAGCTATATTGACCAGTAACAAGATCTCCCTCTCCTCCTTTCCTCTTGGTTTGGTGGGAGACTTCCTCTCTGCTCCATTTTGCCTCTCAGCTTTCCACCAGCCCGACCTCAGGGTAGAAACTTCACAGCAGCCTGATGGCTTTAGAGAACAGGAAACCAATACAGAGCTGGAGGTGGCTTCTGTGTGAACTCAGAGTGCATGGAAAAAACAAAATAAAGCCTAGCCACTGTGGGCATCCGTGGGCTGGATGTAGCCCCATCCCACAAGGATCCTTGCATTCTCCACTCCCTGCGTGTGACTCTCAGAGTAGTTGGCTGTTATACTTTCATACTGTACTTGGGGCTTAATCTGAGTCCTAATTTGTCCACTTCCACCAATGGAGAGATAATTGCATTGATCTGAATCCGAAGGAAAACTGCTTTCCTCTGCAGGACAGGTCAAAGCTACGTTAGAGCACCAGGCATGTGACTTTGAGGCCCTGTCCATTGTGAAACCATGACCGTGCTTTTACTTTTGCATTGCAACCAGGTGTAGGACAGTCTGTGTGAATGATATTTCTACTCCCTCAAATTCTAGTATGGGTATGTGGAGCTTATCAAAGTAGATGTGGTCCTCTCATTTAGGTGTCTATGATGTTGATGGCTCCATCAGAGCTGGCCACCTGAGGTCCCAGCAGCTGTAAGAAAGAGGTGTTTCTATTTTAATGAGAGGATGGTGCCCTCAGCCACCAGCTGCACTGGCTGGGTTGTCACAAGAATTATCCAGAATGGTTTACTCAAATAGAGGTGTTTACATTTACACAGTAAGTTCCATCCATTTGAGACTCAGGTAAGAGGTCTTGCAACACTTAGGACTCAGTTAAATTGTCTTTACATATGTTATTTTAGACACCCAAGTGTCCTGTCTGGCTTCAAACTGCTTTTACAGAAGGGAATGGGTTTCCTCTAGGTCCTGTGTTGTATCTGCAGTTCCCATGCAGTTGTCTCACACCCTGGGACACCTCATTTAACTCTGGGCATAAACATCACCTGTGTTTCAGCATCTGGCTGAAAACTTCAGGGCTATGGTCTTCATATGTCCTGTTTCCTTTGAGTGTCACAGAGAGGGACATGGGTGACTGTGTTAGATGGGTCTAACACTGTAAAAATTGGTCCGTGGTGGACCACCCCAATCATCTGGAGTGAGTGTGCATGGTGGGGAGCTGGCGGGGCCACTCCTCCTGGTGCAGGTTGGCCTCCTGTGTCAGGATGAATGTGTGCGGGAAAAAGGAAGCCAGCAGGGCCACTCCTCAGGATGCAGGCTGACCCCCTGCGTCAGGATGACTTGGCACTTTTTGGGATATAAAAGGCCTGGGGTTCGAGAGAGATCAAGAAAAGGAGACTGATCCAACTACCTTTTGTGGCTGACCTTACCTCTGTGGGGATGCCCACAAAGTATGTGCCTGCCACCCCATTTGCTCTCAATGCACCTCGGAGCTGGCCTCCTGGTCATTGAACAAATGTGTAGGTTGGTAAGAATCTGTGCCTAATCTATTCTTTGGTAGCCTTTAGTTCTCTCTCTTTCTAGCTTGGGATATCTCTGGGTTTTTCATCTATTTTAGATCTCGTAATAAACTTTCTAGTAGTTTGGGGTGTATATGTGTGGCTTATGTTCCTTCACCTGGAATCCTTCGATCCCTGGAACAGTGACTGAGACATATTTTCTAGATGACTGATGGCAAACTCCATTCTGAGTATCACTGCACTGTGCCCTGTGTCAAACTTTCTCCTTTCATCCTTTTCTTTTCCCCGTTTGTTAGACAAAAGCAAGATTCTGCAACATTTATGTTGTGAAGCTGAAATGAATCCAGTAGTCCTTTGAGGGGCTGGCAGGCTAAACTGAAGGGTGGGATTAGCAGTATATATGAATGGAAGCATATGTAAAAGCTTTCCAGATCAAATATCTGCAAAGTTTCACAAAGCTGCTCATTCAGATGTTGCTAATGACATGTTTGAAATTAGCAGGGGAAGCATTTTACTGCTTTGAATGATAAGCAATGCCAGAAAGAATCTGTCACTAGCTTTATTCATTGTTTTTCTTGTCTTTTTTTTTTTTTTTTTTACGAAAGGCATGGCTTTAAAAAAAAAAAAAAAAGCTTAACGGCAGGGAGAAGGGGTATTTGCAAAAGGCGCAAAACAGTCACTGATTTCCAAAGCCTCTAGACTAAAAGTATAGGCATGAAACAAGGAGTGAACGGCAGGGTTGCTTGTAAGAATGAACACATCTCAAAGATACATTTTTTTTTTATTCCTACACATACTTAAAACATCTGTCCATCTTTCATGGTGCGAGTGTATGACACTGATGGCATTTCATCTGTATAACTCAGTATAAACTATGTAAACAAGTTTTATGCCATCAGTTTGAGGCTACACAAAGTTGTTTGCTTTTAAAGGGACCCCAGAGAGCTCCAAGAACAAAGGCCAGGCATAGAAGATTTTTGGTTTGAACAATGGAGTTTAGATAAAGCAGCCCTGCAACATGCTGTGCCTTTCCCATTATGTTTGACAAGTGATGGATTCTCGAGGCCTTTCTGATTTCCCTAGGAGCAGTAAACTCACCATGATATAAACAAGCAGTAGCAGATGAAGACAGGATTGGTGCAGTGAGGTTAGCTCCTAGGATGTTCCGTCTTGCTAGGCTGGTGGTTTCCAAGCTGAGCTAACCTCCCAAGTTGCTGGCTTATATTTCCCTTCCCCATGATTTCAGTAGATGTAGGTCACGTTTACCCTTAAGCTCATCCTTGAAAACAGGCTGGGTTTGACTTGCTTTAAAAAAAACATTTGGCATTAGTGTTTTTTTTGGGGAGATGGGAATGAAGGAAATTTCTGATTATTGAGAAAAATATGCCATTACTCCTGTAACGCCTGAAAAGGTGATGAGAAAAATTACCATGCTGAAAGGTGCTGCCATTGGCTGGGCTGTGTGGAAGGGGTCTGTAGTTGAAGTGTTACTCTGAGGTTTGGAGACAAATTGCCCAAAAGCTGTTTCTTAATGACAGGGGCACACCAGGACTTTCCATGTATGCCAAGTTTTATCCAAAGATTGAGGAGCTCTAAGAATACAGGTAGCCCTCGTGTTTTTAAGGGAAGCTAAAAAAGCTGTAAGAGAATTTGGGCCCGACCAAAGGTCCTTTTGGCAGTGCTCCCTGTCTCCTACATGTCCATGAACAGATGCTTAAGTACAGATCAAATATAGAATATATGTATCTACACACACCTGTGTGTCTGTCATCTAGTGGTTATGTAGCAGTGCTGTATACCTCTCCCAGTGTTCAGCACCTTGCAGTTCAGCAATGTGAAACATACAAGAGACAGATAAACAGCTGGTGTTTAACGATACCACCTTCCTCAAAGATTGAACACTGGCCAATACATTCCCTTTCCTTCCCTTGTCCCACCTTCTCTCTTTAAACACTGATGGAAAATAAACAAAGCCTAATCAGGGTGCTGGGGTGGGAAGCCACAGATCTCTCATCTGTTCAGAGGCAGGGAGACTTTCTGAAGATCCAGGGTGTATTTTGGATGGGGTATGCCCATGTATGTCTCCTGGAGAAGGAGTGGGAGAACAAGATTTTCCACCATCTCTGCAGCACTGATGAAGTGTTATCTTAAAAGAATATGGTAAAATATATACAGACTGTGGTGTAGTGATGGCTTTCAGCACTGCCCAAAGACACAAAGAAAACTGTCTTATCTTCCCATGATGAGC